CTCCTCTTTAAGAAGGGCGGGAGGCAGAAGACAGGAAATTAGAGGCCAGGTAGCCTGACCTCGGTCATTGGTAAGATTTTAGAGTCCATTATTAAGGATGAGATGGCAGAGTACTTGGAAATGCATGGTAAAATAGGGCTATTAGAATTCTTTGAGAAGGTAATAAGCAAGATAGATAAAGGAGAGCCAGTCAACATGATCTATTTAGATTTCCTCAAGGCCTTTGACAAAGTGCCATACTGGAGGCAATGATATAAGATGAGTCCATGGTGTTGGGGCAAGGTGCTGGCAGAGATCAAGGCTTGGCTGACCGGCTAACGGCAGAGAGAGGGAATAAGGGGGTCTTTTTCACGATGGCAGCCGGTGACTAGTGGAGTTCCGCAGGTGTCAGTTTTAGGGTCACAACTATTCACAATCTGCATTAAGGATCTGGATAAGGAGTTGAGAGCGTTGTTGCTAAGTTTACTGATGACACCACGTTAGGTGAGGAACAGGTAGTGTTGAGCAAATGGGGAGACTGCAGACTTGGACAGGCTAGGAGAGTGGGCAAGGTGGCGGCAGATGGAATAATGTGGGTAAGTGTGAGGTTATGCACTCTGGCAAGTAGAGGTGTGGACTATTTTCTAAACAGGGAAAGGCTTTGGAAATCTGAAGCTGAAAGGGGCTTAGGAGTCCTAATTCACGTTTTGTTAAGGTTAACATGTGGGTTCGGTTGGCAGTTAGGAAGGCAAATGCAATGTTAGCATTCATTTTGAGAGGGCTATAATACAAGAGCAAAGATGTGGTGCTGGGGTTGTATGGGGCTCTGGTCAGACCACATTTGGAATGCTGTGAGCAGTTTTTGGGCCCCATATCTACAGAAAGATGTGCTGGCCTTGAAGGGGGTCCAGGTGAGGGTTACAGGAATGATCCCGGGGATGAATGTCATACGAGAACTCTGGGCCTGTGCTCAGAATTTAGAAGGATGATGGGGGATCTCATTGAAACTTACAGAATACAGAAAGGGCTGGATAGAGTGGACATAGGGCAGATGTTTACACGAGTAGGAGAGAACAGAGGGCACGGCCTCAGAGTGTTGGGGCGACTCTTTAAAACTGAGATGAGGAGGAATTTCTTCAGCCAGAGGGTGGTGATTCTATGGAACTGATTGCTGCAGAAGGTTGTGAAGGCCAAGTGATTGAGTGTCTTTAAGACCTAAATAGATAGGTTCTTGGATTAGTCAGAGGATCAAATGTTATGGGGAGAAGGCAGGAGAATGGGCTTCAGAAATGCATTTGCTGTGATTGAATGGCAGAGCAGACTCAATGGATGAGTTGCCTATTTCAGCTCCTATACGTGACCTGTGTTTCTATGATGATTGACCTGTTTTATGGTGCTGCAGTGTTAAAATACTGTCACCATTCACCTGTTAATGGAATGCCGTGGAATGGCTTCTCTGCTGAGAGCCAGTACAGTGCCAAATCCTACCATAGTACACATCAGTTGTTACATAAAAAACAACTATTATTTTGGAACAAGTTTCTGTCCTAAATTAACATTGTTTATAGTCTTTGCCTGCTTCAAATTATACAGAGACCCTTAGCACTAAAACTCCCTACAAAAACCATCTCTTCCTTGCTTTCCTCCATTAAAGGCACTTGGTAAAACACACCTTGTTTAGTAAGACTCCAGTGTCTATCCTCTGTGTTAAAGGTAATCTATAAATGCAATTAATATTGGTGACAGACCTTCAGCTAGCTGAAATGTTATAGGGAAAATCTTGGGCTGAAACACAAAATTAAAATTAGGAACATTATTATCAAAAAATTAGGTAGAAATATCCTAAAAGCTTCAGCCACATCCTTTCCTGGATGCCACAAAACATCTTCAGTAAATGCAATCTTAAAGCTGCAGATAAAAATAAGTCTTGTGGTTTCAAGATAAATAACTGAAACTGTACATTCTCTTGTGTGAGTGCAAGTCCAATTTTGGAAAGCAGATTCTGTGGGATAGGAATTTCCTGTTTTGAGGGTTTAACTGGCTTCTAAAAAACTGGAAAACAAGCTGCCTTCAAATAGTGTTTTCTGCCTTGCGGTGGCTGTTAATTGATTTTGTGGTGACTTTGCCATTGCAATGAGTTGAAACCCATTATGTTGATTGTAGGAATGTTTACTTGAGTCCTACCACAACTGAAAAATATGCTGAACCAATAGCTGCTTCTCAGCTAGTTGCAATTAGAGGCAGCTTAATCCAGTTTATTTTTTTAAGTCAAATAAAAGATTACTTGGGAATATATTTCAGAGGTAACATTGTACATGAGTTAATTTAGGATTGCAGTGATCAATGAGCAATTTCATGGACCCTAACCCATAATAGTTGTTTTGCCAAATGTCTATGTGCGCTTTAAGGATATCCATGTAGGTATTAAGTGAAAGAGCAATCTCAACTTGATGGGTATCTAATGGTATCTCTCCTGCTGTTTGTGAAATCAGAGGTGAGGAAGCAGGGAGCAATCTATAACTAGCTGAAAAGACACGGGTTGAGACGTGAAATGAGTGGATGTTCTGAAGTTCTGTTTCATTACTTCTGATGGTCTGGGATTATGTATCAACCATGGATCAGTTGGTATTACTCATGCCTCTGAGTCACTCTGTTCAGGGTTCAAGTGTCAGTTTAAAGTTTGAGCTGAAAAAAAAATCAAGGCTTGTGGCCTTTACAATATTGAGGGAGATGGAAATGCTGTCATTCAGAAGAGATGTTAAAATGAAGGCCCATCTGTCCTCTTGGGTGAATGTAAATGATTCATAACACTGTTTCAAAGAAAAGCAGGATGTTATCCCCAGTGTCCTGCTGAATATTTTTCCCTCAAACATTATCTCTTTCTTGTTTATAGGAGTTTGCTGTGTGCAAATGGTGGCTGTGTTTTGAACATGATACTAACTACATGTCAGGTTAATGTTAAGGAGAAATGACAGGAGGTAGCAAATCCGCCTATGTAAACCATATTTTGATCCAGATTTTTACGCAATATTTGAGAACTCCAGTTCATTGAGTTCAACTAACTGTTTTGCGGTTGGAGTGCCTATTTGTAATATTGTCTACCCACAGCAACACCACACCCCCCCCCCCCCCCCCCCCCCCCCCCCCACCTTGAACTATGATGGCACCTGAAGGAATGCAGAGTTTATTTTAATCTTCCATGGGACATGGCCATTGCTGGATAAGCTAGCATATGATGTCCATTCCTAATTGCCCCTAAGGTGGTAGTGAACCATCACCTTAAATTGCTGCCAATAAAGCGTCGGTGCTGTCAGGTCACTACTTGGAAGGGAGTTCCAGGATTTTAACTCGGTGACAGTGAAGACAGCGCAATATAGCCTAAGTCGAGATGGTGTGTGGCTTGGAGGGAACTTGCTGTTGGTGATGTTCCCAGGTATCTGCTGCCCTTTTCCTTTTAGGTGAGAGAGTTCATGGGTTTGGAAGGTGCGTGAGTTTCTGTTTGTGTCTTGTGGATGCTGCATACTGCTGCTACGGATGCTGCTGCCATTAGTCGATCTTTTCATTTTTTTTCAGTTGCAGATGAGTTTTGCTCTTCCAGTGTCTGCGTTAGAAATTACGTAGACAGCATAGCAATGAAAGATGCAGATGAAATCTCACTGGTCTATAACATTAGAACACGACTATCCCTGCTCCTCCAGCAATATAAATGGTTCTGTTTCCCTGCAGCCTCTAAGAACATCAGATTTTTTGCATTTACTGATTTCAGGTGTAGGAGCCTTGCTGCTTAGAATAATGTTTATCCACCTACCCAAAACCTACGGCTTTTTCAATTTTGATGGTAGCCAAGCCTCATTCATTGCATCCTTTGCCAAAGCCTACACATTTTACTTTTTTTTTTCAGTAGTGATCATTGGACGGTTGTACAACTCATTTAAGTGGGCAGAAAAGTTCTCTGAATTTACTGTTTAAAATTTGCTTTCCTTCTACTGTGGGTGTGTGATGGCAAATTAAAGTGTCATCCACTATCCGCTTCCCCATTTGACCATGAGTCTGCAAGGTCATAGGTCCTCAGCAAGGATTCATCGTGTTATTTGAGAGGAATTTGTTCAAATTCACCTGACTGGATTTGAATCATTGGGCTTAATCCCTCAATGACTATACTATATCTACAATCTCCTCTAATCTCATAACCTTTCTCATGGTTAATGCAAGTGAATGGCTTGCTACGTCATTTCAGAGGCAGTTAAGAGTTAACCACCTTCCTGTGGCTCTGGAGTTACAAATAGGCTAGATCAGGTAAGGATGTCCTTCCCTAAAGGACATAAGTGAAGCAGATAGGTTTACCTCACAATCAACAATGGTTTAATGGTTATCCTTTCGACACTTAATTTCAGCAATTCAAACTCCACCATCTGCTATAGTGGGACTCAAACCCAGATCCTCAGAGCATTATCGGACCTCTCTATCATTAGTCTAGAGATAATGCCACTTGGCCACTGTAAGTGTGGACTGCAGCAGTTTAAGAAGGCAGCTCAGCACCATCTTCTCAGGGACAACTAGGGACAGGCAGTGAATGCTGGCTTAGCCAGAAACACCCATGTCTGACGAGTGAATTTAAAATAAACATTCAAGACGTGTTGCTCTAATCCTCACATCTTTTGTATTCCCAATCTTAATTGTTCCATTATTGATGGCATTTTACTTATCTGGAATTCCGTCTCTAACCTCTCTGCCACTGTACCTTGACTTAATATACTCCTTAAAACCTACATCTTTGACAAATCTCTTGCTCACCTGACCTAACATCTCCTTATGTGGTTTTGTGTCATACATTGTTTTATAATGTTCCCATCAACCTCTTTTGGACATTTCATTTCATGAAAGGCACTATACAAGTGTAGGTTATTGTTGTATCGCAACTTGTAACATCCTGAGAGACCTCTCCTTTAAATTGTGTTGAGCCAAGTTGGAATAAGTTGTGAAATAGGTTTGTGTTAAATAATGTTCACAATTTGTTTCAGTTGACAGCTGGAAATGCACTAAGTCGCGTTGTGGTGAGAAACACTCGACAGAAACCCATTGTTCATGCTCAGATGACTGCATCCAGAAGAACAATTGTTGCACCAATTACAATAGTATCTGTAAAGGTAATGTTCTTACATATATCATGAGTTTAAAAAAGAAATAAGCTAACTTAAAGGAAACAAAACCTAAACTGAAATACATCTGCAATTTTTACTTGTTATTAATAAATGTCTATACAATACAGATTGGACTCAATAATAAATCCAGAATAAGGCAATTCTTGTCAAGGAATATCCAAATTGACAAAAAGAACAATAATAAATTTAGAATGCCAAATTAGGTTCATTGGACAATAAAGGTTGCTATTTAAAATTTTATTCATCAATGTATGCTCCAATCCAGAAGTTCAACAGGTGTCTGTTTGTCTTTCCTGTGGATCCTGGGACTGCTGAAGTCTTCTCTTCTTAGTTCCTCCTTGAACCTGGTGTCGCGACATAATTATGTCCTTTGAAGTTTTAGCTTTGCCAACTTAACTCTCGCAGACATGTACATGCCCATATGTGCAACTCTTGACCAATGAACAGTTGTCCTAGCATCTCTACAACAATCTAACTTTAATTTGCATCTTTAAACAGAAAGCCTTGGAACATTCCAAGCCCATTCCTTCTAGCCAAACAGTTTTGCAGTCTTGGTGTCCCTTGTAACTGCTAAATCTAAAACTTCTATCTTTGATTAGAGAAGAGCTAGTCTGCTGGCCACTTTTGTGGCTGATCAGCTTTGTGACTTCGGCTTTTCTGAACTGCAAAGCTAGACTTGCTAGTATTGGAAAGTGTGAATGTCTTCTAATTAGAGCTACAGTTTACCTCCAAAGGATCCACATCATCCTCCTTAAAGTTACATCACAAATTTGGCACTTAATACAATGCTAACCTTAAGTCTTTCTTTAAAGCGTAAGCCAAAGTTCATCCCCAAATGATCCCAATAATACATATTAAGACTTTTCATCACTAAGCTCAGGTACAGTACAATTGATAATGTGTGCCTTATTAATTACTCAAAGGAGCCAACAAGGTGAAGTCAAACAAAATTCTGTTTAAAATTCTCAAATACTAAAATAAATACATTTGACATTTTACCTTGTTTTAAACTATTCATGGATCTGTATGTTCCACAAGAACTTACTAATTATTTTTTAAGTCCTTTTTTTAAAAACAAGTCATTTGAAAATAATATTTTAACAAGTTCTAATTAAGTTTTGTGTATTTGAAGATGTTACAAGATCTCATGAAATTGTAAATACTGACCCAGAAATTCCGATAGCCTGGTTAGTTGTTGCAGGAGCACAGACTGGAGTTGTGTGTCAGGACCATGTGGAAATCTCAATGCAGCTGACTCTGAGAGAATGGTCTTGGCAAATTTCTTGCATCTGCAATCCTCTCAAAAGTCCCTAAAAGATTGAAGGTTTCGAAAGTTTCTGACTCATTTTCAAGTTAATACTTACCCAGGAAAAGCTAAAGTGTTGAAACTAGTTATAACTCTTTTGGTAAGTATTAAACTCGAGCCCAGCCCATCACTGATTTCCATCACTACAAACCTTCCCACTCCAGCCTGACCATCTTCTCTCTTTCCTACCTGACCACCCTCCAACTCCCTCAAGAATTTCCCTAAGCCCTCACTCTCTTACCTAGACACCTCGACTCTCACTTAATTTACACAATTATCCTTCCACAGTCACTGTCAATGTAAATTTGGAATCTCTATACAATTTCACTGTCAAAGTACTCCTGTTCTCCCTGGTTTTTCCCCAATGGGCACGTTCAGACCAGCTCAGACTTTGAACTCTGGCCTGAAAGACTTCCGACAGGTAGGTTGGTATTTTAGAGGATTACCCTCAGTCAAATCTGTTCTGATGGTAATTGTAAAGTCTGACTGTTTATGTTTTTGGATCCCCATCTTTAGTCATTCCGTGGAATAGCTATTTCCAAAAGTCTTCACAAAATTATTCTGTCCTGTAAATACACTGACGCTATCAGCCTCTCTAAAACAGCATTACAACATCCTTCCTGTTTCAGTAAAAAGGAGGAGTTAACCAGCAGCAGATTAAATGGGAGAGGGAGAGGTCAGATATATCTGGTATTAGTGCTCTGGAAAAGAACAATGAACAAGAGCAAGATTGAAATACTTTCTGTGTTATAGTGAACTAATATTTAATTAAAACATCAAATCACATGTTTGCAGACATGCAAAGTTTGATCATTATGATAAGATTTCAGTGATTCTGTAATGCCACAGATGGTGTCTATTGTTATTAACCTTAACAGGCAGAGATATGATTTTCTGAAAAGACCAATTTCAGACATATTTATGACAATAACATTTTTCTAAAGTGTTGAAAGAATAACATTATTGTAAAAGTAACCATTATATTTTTCCCATAGGTGAGCAAACCTGGTTGCAGGATGACTGTGAAGATGTTGACACGCCTCAGTGCCCAGAAGGGTAGGACTGCTATAGCTCCAATATTGTAGGCCACCTTATGGAGAATGCATGAAGCCTGATTAAGGACAATCTCAATAACCAAAGTTTATGAATCTTGGTTGTCTCTTGCTGTTATGGCAGTACGTGTGACTTTAATGTATTTCCTGGTCACAGATGCTGAGCTTAAGATTTCGGCTTGGCATTAGAGAAGGGCCGATGGAGAAATTAACTGTTTTCTTGTAGAGAGAGAGAGGGAGAATGTGAAAATGAGAGTTCATTGACTATTCTTGTCTTAACCTGGGCTGCCATACAATGGGCAAAAATTTCCAATCCTTTCCAACCTACAAAATTCCAATAGCACTTTTCCCTTAATGTGGTTTCATCTCAGTCTTAAATAGATGACTTCTTAGTTTAAGATTATGCTCTATGCTCCTAGATTTTTCCATCGGGTAAATAGCCTCCTTTGTATTCACCTTATCAAGCCCCTAAGAATCTTTTTCAAAAGCAAAATACTGCAGATGCTGGAAATCTGAAACAAACGCAGAGAGTGTTAGTCAAACTTAGAAGGTCTGACAGCATCTGTGGAAAGAGAAACAGAGTTACTGTTTCAAATTCAATATGACTCTTGTTCTGAAGAAGAGTTATACTGAATTTAAGTGTTAACTGTTTTTCTTCACAGATGCTGTCAGACCAGCTAAGTTTCTCCAGCAATTTCTGTTTTTGTTTGTTTTTAGATCTCCAGCATCTGCAGATCTTTGGCTAATTTATGATTAATGTTCTGCCTGCGTGTCCTCATTATCTCCTGACATTGTTCTCTATTCTGCAGTACAGCTGCTGTTAGGCAGGCCTATGGACTATTCCCACCAATGTCGTCTTCCACTTGATATTTCTGATCTTCACCTGTATGGATTTTTCATCTTCCAATCCGCGATCATTTCTTGCAACTGTGCTTATTCCATCTCATGCTAACAAAGCTACTCCACCCAACCTGCATATCTGCCCATCATAGAGTTGTACAACACAGAACCGGATCTTTTGGTCCAACTCATCCATGTCCTAAACTGATCTAGTCCTATTTGCCAGCATTTGGCCCATACCCCTCTAAACCCTTCCTATTCATGTACCCATCCAGATGCCTTTTAAGTGTCAGCTGTGAGAGTGCAGTCATTGTTCCCCTGACCTCTCCACATGGTTGTTTTCCTGAAATCTTACTCTTTCCTCCTGTTCAAAATATTGTTGTTTTTGATCTTTTTTATACAGATCCAAAAACAATGCAAAATGTTTGAAAAATCAAATGGCCCTAAGTATTTAGTTCCCAGCTTTAATTTCATTGTAACTGTGTCTTTGTAATGGTTATAAGATCATACCCATTAACCTTATACCCATTAAAGACCAATTAATTTTGCCTTTACTATTCCCCCCTCTTTAACCCTGTTTGCTGCTGCTTTCACTATGGTTGAACAATCTGTCTATTCTTGTCCTACTTTTAGTATTGTTATCGAAGTAGCTATGCTGTAATGCTGTCAATTTCCCTTGTAAGCCTATATTTTCTGTCTCCCAAACTCAATACTGTCCCTCTGTAATTACTTTAAAGCCCTGTCTAAAGCTGTAGTTATTTGATGTGCCAAGATATTTATCGCAGCCCTGGTTCAAGTGATGTCTGTCCCTCAGTCCTGCTGCCATAAACTGAAACCTATTGCACCCACACCAGTCTTTGAGCTATGCATTTAACCCCTTGACCTTTGTTTACTCAATGTCAGTTTGCTTGGGGTTTATGTAGTAATCTGAAAATTATTACCCTGGAGGTTTTGCTGGTTTATTGAGTTCCTAACTCTTCAAATCTTTCAGCAGAATGTCTTTTCTAGTCCTATCAGTGTTGTTAGTACCAGTGTAGATGATGACAACTGGACCCCTCCTCTCACCTTTCCAAGTTCCCTCCGGCCCCAAGCTGATGTTGTTAACGCTGATGTAGGCAGGCAAGGAGACTTCACAAAGCAATAGATTTCAGGACTCGCGCTCATGGCTGCAGAGAACAGTATCTATCCACCTAATGTTATTGTCCTGTCTTACTACTCCTACTAAGTTCCTATTTTCTCCCCCACCTGAGTGGCGCTGTCTGTCTCACAGTGCCACAGTCAGTTCTCTATCTTCTCTGCACTTCCCACATTCGCCCACGCACCTTGCAAGATTGTCATAACTATTGGGCAATTACAGGGGCAGAGGCTGCTCAACCAGCCCCCACCCGCCTCCACTCCCCCCAGATCCACATGCTGCTGTCATCAACACCCTGCTGACAGTACCACACCCCCGCCACCCCCCACCCCGCCCCCCCCCCCCCCCACCACCACCACCCCTCGCCCACCCCTGGACCCACATGCTGCTGTCACCTGCAGGCACATGCTCTTTTCTAATCAGACTCCAAAATCAGTGACCTATTCGGAGGGATTTGACTGCCTCCTGGAGTAAAGTGGTCCAGGAAACTTTGCTGCTCCCTGATGTGTTCTTTGGGATTGAATGCTGTCCCAGCAGTGGCCAAAAGGAATTTGAGAGAGGAGATTAGATTAGTTGAAGGCCTGGCCTTTGCCTGATTAGCTGGCTATAGCTTGGTAGAAACTTTTCATTTGGCATCAATGTTGTTTGGTGAGGGGAAACATCAGGTGGGTGTCCCAGATGTATGACTAACCGACTTTTCTTCTCCGCAGTCCTGTACCATCTGTTTCTGTTTTCGACTTTTGAAGGTCCTTGGTTAAGAATATCAGAAACAGAGGCAGGAGAGTAGTTCCTTTTCTATGTTCTTCACCATGCAACAAAACTTGTGACTGATCTTCCACCTTGACTCCACTTTCCACCTTTACGTCCAAATAGCCATGGTTGAATTTCCATACAAAAGTTATTGCACCGAGTAGGAGCTCATGATGGAGAGAACAATATACTAGCATTGATTAGAAGATTGGCTGGCAGCCAACAGAGTACGCAAAAATGGGTCTTTTTCAGATTGATAGAATGTGACAAGTGTAGTCCCACAGGGCCCTCAACTATTTATTATTGACCTAGTGAGGGGAGCGAAGGTATGGTGGTTGGATTTACAGATGACGCAAGGATAGACAGGAAAATATGTTGTGAACAAGGAATGCAGAGAGATGCAGATAGTTTGAGTGAGTGGGTAAAAATCTGTCCAATGGAGCATAATGTGGGAAAAAATGTGAAGTTGTTCAGGAGGATGAATCAAAAATCAGTATTATTTAAATGGAGAATAACTGCAAAATTCAGAGGTGTGGAGGAACAAAGGTGATCTCATGCTTTGATTTTATTTGTTCATGGGATGCGAGTGTCACTGGCTAGGTCAGCAATTATTGCACATTGCTAATTGCCGAGAGAGCAGTTGAGAGTCAACCACACTGCTGTGTGTCTGGAGTCCTAGGTAAGCCAGACCAGGCAAAGATGGCTCATTTCCTTCTCTAAATGAGATTAGTGTTACTTTTATTTTCAAATCAGTGCTTATAAGATCACCGTTAGGCTAGCTTGGTATTTGACATCTTCATGGAATGTAGATTTTGCCATCTGCTGTAGTGGGATTCAAGGCCCGGTCCCCAGGGCATTCATTGTATGGAGGTACACTAAGTGAATAAGAAGGCTAATGAGGTGCTATCCTTTTAATAGTAGAGAGGTTGAACATTAAAGAAGATCATAGGTCATAGAATCCCTACCATGTGGAAACAGGCCATTCGGCCCAACAGGTCCACACTACCCCTCTGACAAGCGTCCCACCCAGACCCATTCCCTTACATTTTCCCTGTCTAACCCACCCAACCTAAACATCCCTGGGCACTACGGGCAATTTAGCATGGCCAATCCCTGCACATCTTTGGACTGTGGGAGGAAACCGGAGCACCCGGAGGAAACCCACACAGACACAGGGAGAACGTACAAACATAAAAGTAAGGTTGTTATACTTCAGCCAAACAGGCCAGTGGTGCAACCACACCTTGGATACTGTGTGCAGATTAGGTCTGCTTATTTATGGAAGGATTTAGAGAAACATTGAAGGCAGTTTAGAGAAAGTTTATTAGATTGATGCCTGGAAAGAGCAAGTTGTCTTATGAGAAGAGACTGGACTGGCTGGGCTTACTTTCATGGGAGTTTATAAAGACTGAGGAGTGACTTGAAATTTATAAGATCTTAAAAGATCTTGACAAGGTCAACCTGGAATGGATATTTATTCTTGTGGTTCAGTTCAGAACTAGGGGCTGCTGTTTTGCAATTATGGCTCACCCTTTTTAGAACAGAGTGAGGGGAAATTTTTTCTGTGAGAGGATTATGATACAGGAACTTTCTGCCTGAGAATATGGTGGAGGCGGAGTTCAATCGATTCTGTGTTGGCAGGGGAATCAGAGGTTATCAGTTGTGGATTACAACATGGTAGATCACAACAGAAACAGATCAGCCATGATCCTATTGAATAGTGGAGCAGACTTGAAGGGCTGAATGGTCTACTTCGGCTCCTGGTTCATATGAATGTAATGTGAACAATTTTACCTCTGTAATCTGGATTGGTCAATGTTTTTATGATGTATTTTGTGGCTTAGCAAGAATTTTTTTAGTGGTTCCTATTTAAATAAGTGAAATTGGAATAATGACAACCATTGGAATTTAATGTATAAACTTGCTTTGAGAATCCAGTGCCAAGCCATCAAACCATTTCCCAAGTGTTAAATGCAGCTCAGCCAGATGGTGAAGTATGAAACTAGACACAGATCCTTTCCTTGTTAATATGTTTATTCACATAATGCAGCATTACATAGTTCTGCTTTCTACCCTATCTACCAATATCCCTGCGTCTCAGCAATGTCGTTCGTTCACAGTGTCTTCGACTGTACAGTGTCATGTTATATTTGAGTAAATTAAATTAAAGAACCACCTGTAAACTGTCACTTTAAAGGGAAACTTATCAAATTAGATGTGATCAAGATATTTAAACAGTACCCTCCATCTGTTTAGCATTAAGCTTAGCAATACAATTA